AAGCGGCAATCCTAGTACCAGATCGCATCGTAAAGCATTACCCTTGATTCATAACATGCTCATTTTGCTTTTTGATCAAAGGTTTGTGGTTTGTATAATACACAAATTAATGGTTCTTGGCGTTTCGCCTATTTATTTACTGCAATAAAAAATTGAAAATGCTTATGAAGTTTCTATTATCAACCTATCCAAACACCATTCACTTATGTCAATAAAACAAGGCTTATGTCTAAATATCATATAAGCCTTGTTCTATGCTAAATATGTATCTATGATGTCTGAGCGTTGTCATTTGTCTTTTGTGGCAGACTTCAATCCCATAGATAAGGACACGCTGTTGAAACCGCACAGAGTTGCCAGAGATAAAGAAGAAGAAAAACGGGCCAAAGTTCACACCAAATTGTACACACTGTACTCTAACCTCTTTCTAACTTGTGTTCATCCATAGATAAAGACGAGTCATCGACGTCTTTATCTATGTTTATCTATGGGTCTACTTTTGTCGGCTAGTCGGTTAAGGTTTTTGTCGGATGCTATTTCTTATTAGTCTTTACTATTTGTGTATGTTAAATTTTTTGAAGTCGCAAATTCCTGTGTTTGGTTAATATCTTCATGTACTTGAAAGTTATTCAAGCTAGAATATTTGTGTAAATTGATTTTAAAACAAAACTGTTGACATCAATAGTTTCTCGTTCCCTAGTTTTATTAGAAGTGCCGTTTCTTCGTGATACTTTAAGTGTCTGTCTTGCTTCTTCAAATAGTTTTTTGGTTAAAAATTCAAGCAGTTTTATTTAGGACTTTAGATTCAAGGTAAGGCAAACAATAAATTATAATTAAAAGTCATGCCAGGAAAATGCTGCGTGCCTGGATGTCGGAGCAATTACGACAAGAATGGCCCATATTTCTCGGTATTTTCATTTCCCAAAAATTATTCCTTGAGGGAAGAATGGATTCGAGCGATTAACAGAGAGCCTTCTTTCACGCTGACTAAAAACTCTCACGTCTGTTCCAGACATTTTTCTGATAGCGAAGTTATTCAAATTGACAAAATGATACGTGACGACGGTTCTATACTTGAAATTCCCCGCAAAATTCCAAAATTAGTTAAAGATGCTGTTCCCACAATTTTTCCGGAACAACTAGAACAAGCTGTCTATTTGCCAGCCGAAGAACCTTCCTTTAAACGTAAACACCCGGATAACAGTGGAAGCGATTCAGAAACCCATGATGAACTCCTCATTAATGACCCTATGCAAGATGACGAGATATCTAATTATGACGAATTTGTGCTAAAGTTCAAGGAAAAAAACTTGTCAGACTTTCTATTTCAAGTTTCAGATGAGCATGTTTGTTTTTTTATAATAGAAAGTGCCATAAACACATGCCCAAGGATAGTATCCGGATTTAATATTGACAAAAATTTGAAAGTTTTATTTTTTGCAGACGGAAAAACTATTCGTCGTTCTAAATTTTCCAGGCTATTAGGGGAAGATGGTATTTGTAATAAATGGGCACAATTTGATTCTTTATTAAGTCATATGAATTCACATTGGAGGTCCAGTTAGACAAAAAATGTAAAAACTGAATTTGCACCATATTAAGTAACTGGTGGCTCAACAAATCTATTACCTAATGTAAATGTCCGAATGTAAATAATAAAAATAATATATTTATTAATAGGTAGCTAGCAACATTACAATACAGCCTGACAATTTCGCTAATTCACAGAAAATTTGAAAAACATTTAAAATCCAGTAAAAAAGTAAAAACAAACTTCAAACCGTATGATGGTTCATATCATAGATTAACTAAGTTCACGTTCCGGTTCATATACATGGATTATTTAAAACATCTGCCTCAACGCATTTCGAAATCTTGAGAAAAGCCAATCGCACGAGAGCTCGAGAACCAAATTATTCAGTCCACCGCAATTTTTAATCAATGCTTGCAAATGAGGGGTAATCTGAAACACATCGATATATACAATAGATAGACGCGTACACTCAAGAAAACGTTCGACAATAAATGTGTTTTTTTTTACCCAAAGAATATTGCGGTACATTTTGAATGATAGACTTATGGGACACCCTCTATAAATTCTAAGCCAATAAATATATATAAATACATTGCAAAGAGATGTTCGTTGTTAAAAATTCGAGAATTTTGCAACAAGTTCTCATAAAAGCACGATTGAAAAATAAATTACATCAGAATCCATCGCCCGAGATTCTGCCGTCACAAGTCCAATTCTGTTTGATTTGTTCTGCCTCGGACACGTTTCGTCCCTGAACATTGATGAATACCTCGAAAACAAAAAGATGGGGAAACTATTGTTGTTACAGTAACAGGAATACGTCAGATAAAATTAACCAGACACGGAAAACCGAAACATAACAGAGAACATATAATGAGAAATCGTGGTTATCAGTGGTTATGTTAAATCGCTTAGCTAAAATGTACACAAGATTAGCAGAACTAAAATATTTTTTGAAATTTTCTTAGTAGTTTAACCTCTTCATATTACGTAATTTTCTTGCGTTGTTCTAAAAAATAAGTAGATTGGTTTAGAAAATATGGGAACACAAGCATCCAATGTGGAGAAAAGCCAGCACAATTTATTATTATCTGCTTTCTGGGTGAGTGTCGTTTGGGCCATACAATAAATGAATTAGAAACTGTCGTTTTAAGGGAGGTGGTGCAGCAGGTTTATTTGTAGATATAGTACTTTTTCCTTTAGACACTCTAAAGACGAGGCTACAAGCAGAGCAAGGATTTAAAAATGCAGGCGCTTTTAAAGGAATATATAAAGGATTAGGTCCACAAGTCATAGGAAGTGCTCCACAAGGTAACTAACATTTTTATAATTTTTTTTACTACTAACCGGAGATGTTATATTTTTCTCCCTAGGCCAATAATAATAATAAAAAAGTCCCCCCTAGGTAAATGATGAAAGGTGTTTACGTTTTTTATTATTTTTAGTTTGCCGACCTCTCTAAGTTCAATGAGATTTCATTCATTTTCACTTCTAGAATCACTGTAACTTTAACATTCACTAATTTTTCGCTTTTCCCAGGAGCTTTCCATAGATCTTTTATCTCTTTTCTGGAGACCGAACAACTATATTGCGGCAGTTTGACAGCTGAACTATCAAAATAGTGACACTTAGATAGACAAATTGCAATTAATTGGAAAGTCTAAATCTAATTAAATCAATTTAGGCAATTATCCGTGTTGATTGATGTGAGAAGGCTATTAAATACCACGCACTTCATATCCTTCGGCGCTCGGTATATAATAGCTCACTTTTCGACCTAGGTATATAATGAACTATTTATCTTTAACGTTTCGTAAATACTTGTTGCTTTATGCGTAATGCTGCAAAAGTAACGGAAGAAACTAAAAGGTAAATATATAGGAAAGATAATTTTTTTATGGAAATATAAATTCAGGACACTGCAGTTTAAAAATCTAATTATGTAAGTACTTTGATGTCCACAAGTACTGTCATTCGTTTTATTAGACGTTGTAAAAAGCTTACATGCAAAAAATTATTAAAAATATTACAATTTTTCAGTGCTTATAAAATTTAGGAGAAAAAGTATGGATTCTCATTTGAGACCTTGGAAAGATAGTCGATGACAGAAAAACCCCAGTTTGATTTTATTTTGCCTTTCCACCCGACTAAAGCCCCTGTCCCATTCATCCGTTTATACGATGGTACGATGATACGAAAGTGTTTCTATTGGTTGGAATTCTGTCAGTTCGTACGACCGCGGACGAATTGACAGATCTCCAACCAATAGAAACACTTTCATATCATCGTCCATTGTATAAACGGATGCATGGGACACAGCCTTAACTTATATTACAAAATGTTTGATCAAATGTGCTTTTTGAAATTTAAAGCTTTCTCCGTTAGTGGACCCGTTCAGTCCCGATTTATAGATCAGCTTTCATAATTTAAGGAATTTAACAGAGTTGTTTTATTATTTTACGTTTGTATATTTTTATTTATTTTCAGCCGCATTATTTTTTGTTACCTATGAGTCAATAAAGCATTACTCTGAGCCTTTGGTGCCCAAGGCGGCAATGCCTTTTGTTTACATGTTTGGAGCATCAATCGCTGAAGTGGTAAGTAATTATTTATCTAATATATTATTTTACTTGTTATTCTAACTATCCATCATGATTTAAAATTAGTGATGGTGATATTAATGAGTAGAGACAAAATAGTACGAAAATAACTACTTACCAATAACTGAGATATTTGGAAATAACTAAATAAGAAATTTGGCAACAATGATTTTAATCGAAAGAGATGGACTTTCGAGGCCATTCCTTGCAACTAATGGGTTTCTCGGATTTTTAGGCCGTCGATCGGTAGAATTTCTTCTTACCAAAATCAGAATTTCTTACCGAAATAAAAGAAATTCTTATTTTGGTAAGAAGAAATTCTGCCAAACGACGGCCTAAAAACCCGAGAAACCCATTAGTTACAATGATTTTAATAATCACAACGCACACATGCTGTTGCTTTCTTCTGAAATCAACAAAAGTAACAGATGAAACTCAAAGACAAATAGGAAAAAAAGACATCATTTTACTGATACTGGAACTATAAATTCGTCACGCTAATCAGTTGGAAAAAAACAATGTTTGAAAGTTTAGTTTTTAATTGAGTTCTCAAATCAACGATATTTCAAACCGTAGAATCATAACACGAGTTGTAGAAAATTTATCACAAAAGCACACATACGTGCCACTTTTGCGGCCATATTTAAATCTGCTGATTTTTTCGGGTTTTAAAGTTGTTTTGGAAAATTAGGTTGCGAAAAATGGAGGATCTGAAACGCAAAATGCAAAAATGAAACGTCGGAAAGAAATTGTTTTCCGCGACGCCTAAAACTCCCTAGATCTGATAACCGTTTTAAGCTAAAAAAAAACATTTCAGCAAAATGTGCAAAGCCCTTTTTCAACTACATATTGCTTCATATCGAGTTCAATCAAAAAATTGATATCAGAAAAAGTCGACGTTTTAATTGACCTGTTATAATAAATCGCAGATACCATATTTCCATGTACTTTCTCTTAGATGGCCTGCCTTGTTCGAGTGCCGATGGAAATCGCAAAACAAAGAAAGCAAATATCTCCAACTGACAAATCTTCCTTAAGAATTTTGATGTCTGCTTACAAATATGAAGGATTTTTTAAGGTACATATGTCGATACTCGAAAAATTAAATTTCGCAACTTTTAACTATTATTATTTTATGTCTGTAGGGAGTTTACCGAGGGTTTGGGTCGACTATTATGAGAGAGATTCCATTTTCCATTATTCAGTTTCCTACCCTCGAGTTTTGTAAATCATTCTATAGGCAAAAGTTTAAAAACAATATTCCACTCGATTCATGGGAAGTTGCTGTGTGCGGATCTATTGCCGGTAAATATCAGTATATTATTAGTTTAAGTAACATAATTATTGCTGGTGCACTACTGAGATCGCCATTCATTTTAGAAGTACATATATTGTATTTTAAATTTTGAAGCACGCTTTATTGCAACATCCACAAGAAAATCTTGTTTTGTTTGGTGATATTGATGTATAACACCAGGAGGAATACTGTGACGCATTTATCATGGAGTTGCTTTATTGGCCAAGTTAAGTGTTCACCATAAACACCACCGAAACGAAGGAAAGTGGTTTATTGAGTTTCGTTGTGGCTGAGGCTATAGGAATCTCAACTGAGAACATCACAGTTTACATGAATATTTCGATATAAAAAAGCTATCCGCACGATGGTGCCGCGATTGCTGACACGACCATAAGCGCTCCTGTGACCATTTCAAATGAATGTTTAGCGATGTTCCGTCGCAATCCGAACGAGTTTTTGCGACGTTTCGTAACCGTTGACGAAACGGTTCCATCGCTACACGCCAGAGACCAAAGAACAATCAAAACAGTGGGATTCTTCAGCTCAACGTGCCCCAAAGAAGGCCAAAATGAATCTGTCGGCCAACAAGGTGATGATCACAGTTTTTTGGGATGCACTCGGTGTCATTTACTACCTTGAAAAAGGTAAAACGATCACTGGCTCATATTATTCAGAGCTTTCGTACAGATTCGATGTTGACCTCACGCTAAAACGGCCGCATTTGGCGAAAAAAATGCAGTTTTATCAGGACAATGCACGGGTGTAGCCATGGCAAAAATGTATGCATTTAGGAGCACCTTGAAAAATTCTATTATTTTGAAGGGATAAAAAACTGGAAAGATGCTGGGCTAAGTGTATCGAGCTAAAAGAAGACTATGCTGAGAAATAAAACGTTTTTTCCAACATTTAATTGTTCTAACATTAATAAAGTTCTTCATCCTTTAATTTATCCATTAAAAGTTACATTCTTTGCAGGAGGGGCTTCAGCAGCTATTACAACTCCTTTAGATGTTGTAAAAACCCGAATAATGTTAGCAGACAGGAAAGTAGCTGAGCGAAGTTCGCTGACTTTTGCTAACACTTTCAAAAAAGTTCTTCGAAACGAGGGTTTAAAAGGGTAAGTTATGATACACAGATGCATTTAATTACATAAATTATGATAAGCTTTTATTCGTAAGGGAATAATGCCATTACAAAAACGTGTGAACGAAGGCGTTGCTCGGGCAAAATATTTACCAACTAACTAATGTGGTTTGATCTGAAATAGATTAGCCTTACTCTGATTTTTCGACCTAAAAATAACGGGGTGTTTAAGTCACCAAGTATTGAATCACATTTTCTCGTAAATGATATTCAATGTTATTAATTCCTAGTCCAAAGCCGACTCTCAACACTAATATTTTTGAATCCTGGCATGAATCTATAAACTCTACGATGATGGAATGGTATCAGCAGCAGAATCATTATATCGCGAATGGAATCTGAGCCCAAAAGCTTGCTTGAAAGGGGCATATTTCCGTTGTACACGCCATAGGCGTTTCGGGTCTACTTGAACCGAAGGCTGGTTTATTTTTTCCAACTGCTCTCTTATGAGCAGTTGGATTGCACGTTCTTATAAATCAACTAAGTGAGCCTTTTTGAACTAAATTTAATATTGTAGTTAATACTAAGTGTAGTAAATTTAAATAAAGCGAGGGGAACTTAGAGGAAAATGTTAAAAACAAAAGTTAGATATATTAACGTCTAGTTTATTTTAAGATAATACCGATTGCATTAAAAAGTACGACATTCCATTGAAAACAATGTAAGTTTGGTCTGCCACTTGAATTTGAAACACCCTGTATGTTATGTTTTCATCTGCAAATAAACTAGATGTGGTGTTTGATAAATCTACAAGTTTTGTATTTAACATTTTTCTCTAAATTTCAATTTAGATGTAAAAACGGGGTGGCCAAAGTTCAATCAATAACCCTGTACATCACAAGCAAACGGTTTATTTGTTTTCTTATTTCTAATTTGAAGACAACTAATTTTGCAAATCAGTAAGCTTCATGGTTGTATTTCAGGTTATTTGCGGGAATCGTGCCCAGAACTTTGTGGATCTTCCTGGGAGGGTACATATTCTTTGGAAGTTATGATTTCGCCAAAAATAATGTTTTTGATCTGCTTGAGGAACGATCTGATGCAACTAGATAACCCTAACAAATATTTTGTAGTTTTTTTTATAAAATTTGACATTTAGAACAATACAATCAATAATTTAAAAATCAGTTTGTTTCAGTTAATAGTATATATTATATATATTTAAATTCTTTTATACATTTTTCTTATTACTAGGTTTTTAGGTATAAAAATATGGTAACCTACATCTAGAGTAACACAGGACTTAACTTATGACATACATTACTTTTTCCTGCGATTATAGCAATACACAATTTTTAAGGACTTAAAACTTTTTATTTGACCTTTTAAACTTAAACTAGAGTAGAACTATTTGTGCTCATCATGCGGTTTTGATAAATGTAAGTTTAAGACCAATTCGTAACATAAAATAAATAGTTCAAGTGACACCATACCGTAAATTTTTCGTAAATATTTTATGCTGAATTCACAATGCGCATTGAATAAAAAAGATAATGGTGTACATGACCACATATTGGTAAGCCAGTTTAATTTATTAGTTAACTTATGTTTTTAAGTTAACTACTATATTGATTTTACTTAATGCGCACTGTTTTTAATACGTTTTATTATAATATCAACGTAAACGTATTAAATAGTGTTGCTACAGATGGTGCGTATTTATGGTGGCGCAAAACTTTATTAAGAAATAAATTTAGAATGTTGTAGTTTACTGCGTTAATATAACATAATTTGGCATCCACTCTTATTATGTTCAATAACTTCCAATTTCAGTAAACCAACTGTTTCTTTAAGCTGGTTAACCATAGACCCTAACTCCACGTTTTCACTCTTAAGTAATTTCACCTTATCTTCCAGTTTGGAAATTCTCTCAAGTTTTCGCGATCGACATTTCGAAGCGGCTAGTCTGAAAATGTACATCATAATATAACTCAAATTGTTTACTCGACATATTTTAGAGATTTTGAATAATCTATTCCCATATTGCCGTTGTTTTAAATGTCTTACCTGTTTCTTTGTCTTTTCCTTTCAAGTTTAATTCTTTCCTGATATTCCATATCAACTGGTGACATTGGCGGGCTCTGGCTGATATTTGGGACGATCTGCGGCTCTTCTTTGATCTGTGATAGGAATGACTCATTGTAAATGGTACTGGTATTGCTGTCAGACCCTTGCTGCGAATTGCTGTTATGTAAGTTGCTTAGAGCTTCCACAAATCCGCCTGCAAATCGCTCTTGTTCTGCAGTAACAGTTTTAGGAAATGGAAAAGATGGTGTGGGTGTCCCAGGCAAAGGGTTATCTAAAGTTTAAAGCAAAAGCAACACTATTAACTATTATTACATACTATACCGATAATAGAGGTAAAAAAATCCACGACTAGTCAGCAAGTAATTTTCTATTAATTATTAACTTATATACTTATGTAGAAGAACAGTCGCATAGTTTGAGCGGATGTTTCCATTATAAGAAATAAGTGAAAAACAACAAATTATTTTCGAATTTCTGTAAAATGCTAACATTTTAATTGTGCAAGTATTATTTGACCTGCCTTTCCACAAAAGGTGTGATAACTTTTAACGGAATATAATATAGTAAATAAATATTACTTGCCAAGAATCATATTCTCCAATTCTGGAGTGTCAACTTTTAATTTTATTAAATCCGGAGAAGATAACACATCTGAAAGACCACCCTCTCCAGTAGACAATGGAAACGCCACATTTTTCTTTGCTTGATTAAAATCCAGAGTCAAAGGTCTTTTCAAGTTATTCATTTGTTTATTGTCATTGAACTGGTTCATGTTGCTAGTTGTTCTTAAATAATTCAAATCCCAACCAAGACCACAGYTTAAAGAAAAGATACACTGGAAGTAGTACTAACGCCAAAAGATAGTAGTAGGTTGAACCAGTAATGTCCATACAATCTGAAAAAAAATATAGCAGATATAGGTTGGTTCAGAATTGAAATTGCATAATKGCTMTAAACAATGAAAATTTTATTACTGCAAGATCAAAAAGTTGATTTTTTTATTTTGAGATCACCCTGTAAATACAAGGGTTAGGCCAAAAATTCAAAAACAAATTCGAGATGAGATCTATATTGATGCCTTCCGCGTTGAAATCCAAAAAACCTTTTTTTCTGTTCAACTGCGAGCATGCCAAACTGTCAGAAAATGTGCATTGTTTTTTGGCCCCCCTGTACGAAATTCATCAAAAGTACATTATTTATAGAGAAATAGCGAACAGCAATCAGAATTTATCTAGCTTCAAGTTGGGGCAAAATTGGCAATATTTTAACGTTTTTTTTGTTGAGCTATGTAGATAAATTAGCTTGAAACAAGTTTAATCTGTTTCCCTAATTAGCTTGTGATTTTAGGTCTCAAGAAAACCACAAACGCTTAACCTATCTCAATATTTTCCACTTTTTAAATTTTGATCTGTTGTACGCTACGCAAAATCCAACTATTGTTATTATTAGTTAACAGCAATAACCTTCAAATGGAAACGGGAAGATATAAACGAAAAGAATCAGTGTTAACATTCCCATACACCATATACCTATCTGACCTTTAATATTTCTATATTTATGTAGATTGTAGATATGTAGCCCTAAAATTGTTTACCCACTTTTAGAATCAATCAGGTTACTAAAACATCAAAACAGACCAATAAAAGTTGCCAAAAATATATTTCCATAAACCCAGTGATGTGACGATTGCACTATTTACTAATATAACAAAAACAACTCGTTATAAATAGTGATACTTACTATTTAAGAGGAATTTAATACTTAGATACCCTTCAGGCACCTCGTTTTAAAAAGCTAACCGTGGAACTGATTACTAAATAGAGAAACTTGAGATTCACAGGAGGTAACACGAATTCTAAGAAGAAAGAATACTAAGAAATTCAGCCACAGTACAATGACGCAAATAAAAGGTTTATGAATCACTCAAAATACCGAGATGATAATGGACAATAGACATCTAAACAAGGACATTTAACAGGTAGAGCTCGGTGACAGGCGTACATTCTTTAAATACAACGTTGCAATTGGCGATTTAATCCCGCGTCTCCAATAAAAGTATCCATTGTTGCTTTGCGAAACAGTCTGAAATAAGAACTGAGGAGTTTTCCATAAACCAAAACAAGGCTGGGACTGCTTGGATCAAAGCATATTCATTTATGTATTTAGGTGAATAAAATACATGGATAATAATATATCTGCTTAAAGCTTCCGTATTCTTATTTATATACACATTATTTTACATAAACTGAAAAGCTTATTTAACAATATAATTATGAACGCTTAATAATAATGGAATTGGACAAATCAAGATATATTTTTATTCTTCGAAAAGCCAGTGGCTATAAAACTTCTGCGTTAGAAAGAGACAACATACCTTGCCGTTTCTCAGGCAGTACTCGTAATCGGATAAAAATATTTTTGCTGTGATATACATAACATTACTWTATTTGTGGTGCTTCCACTTCAGAATTGTATTATAATATATATGTATATACTAAATATGTTATATTATGCTTTCTGACCTTGCTGAGATTTGAAGRAATTCAAATTACCTTAGTCGTAAAATAATATGTCTACTATTCGACAATTGTCACGTGTCGCACATTTATACCACAGATCACAAAGGTTACTCCCATAGAGAAAGTAAAATAAGTTTATTTATTAATTATTTTACTTACTCTATGGTTACTCCGTCTTTATCTATGGCCCTGCCARACGCCGGTTACGGAACATAGGTTGGAAGTTCTRTTTGAATCGAAACGCCACAGATCTTATGCSGTGATCTATAGCTGGCGTTTCGRTTGGAGCTGCTAGTTGAGAAGTGGCGKATAGAGTTCGCCACWCACATAACGACTGGACATAACCACAGAATATAAGGGGGATATTATGTGGACATAACCTATCTAATATCTGCTTTTCAAAGCTGCAAGCATAAAACTTGTCTTCATCTATGAATCAAATAATCTTCGTATATCATGGAAGTGTAAGTTGTTATTATTTAGAGCCGGTATTTTTTTGTCCCCTACTATTTTTAACCGAGATACAATAAGCACACTTAACCAGAATCATAATTTTCAATTACCAACGTTTTTCAATATACCTCCAAGAGGTGAACAATTAATTCAATTCGTTCTAAACAATGTCTTTTACAGCCTAAACTCAAACTCGGCTAGTTTAACCAACTATGAGGTATTGAAGCATTTACAAAAAATCAAAGATGCTAAGAAAAAGCACAAAGGTCAGCTTGCAACAATTACATACGAGGTAATCGAATAATACTAATTCAATAATGTCATTTTGAAATACCTACGTTACTTTCCAGACTTTACATTATTTAGAGGAAACCCCATGTAAAAGTCAGACACCAACAAACCTGTCGGAGTGTATAAGAGAGCTAGAGCCATTTAATTTGAATAAGAATGAATTAGTAATGATTATGAATACACCGCCCACCACACCTCTGGAAATTCAGCTGGTAAGTTTCAATAAAGAATCAATGTCATAAATGGTATACAGAATATCCCCCGAAATGTGGGAATACTTTCTTATTTAGTCCATCAAAATAGCATGACAAGTTCTTATAAACTGCTCGCCGAAATAAACGTTACACGGCCAAATTTTTCCTAACTTCGGAACTGGATAAATTCAAAGACAAGAAAACAGACATATTTTTTATGCGCAAAAGCTAGAAATGATACAAGATTTTACAAAGAGCACAAAAGTGAATAATTTATTAGTGCATCAACCAAAGAAAACATTAGTTGATTCCATCCACCAAATAAAAAGTTATGGTAGTTTTTGTACCACGACGCTCAAGAATTCACCACTTATCTAAAACGACTGAACTCGATTGTTTCATCACAATATGAGTCTTATAAACGAACAAATTCATAGCGAGATTCACCAAAATACATAGTACTATTATCCCGATATTTCAAAAGATAATTTTTTTGACGAACCTTGACCATCACTAGCAGAGGAGCCAGACATTTTTCTTTAATAAAAGTTAGGTCAGATCGTCTTGTTTTGATCCAACGAATATCCCAGTACTCTTTTGATAATGTGCTTACGGGACACCCTATATTTTAAACTCGAGATTTTCATAAAGCATTATTATACTATGAAATAATGGATTGTTTAGCATAATCCTGGCAATATTTCACGTCTTGAAAATTCAGAACGAAGCTAAATAGCTGAACTATAAGTACTTGTTTATCTTGTATACTTTATTGTTTGATTAATTTCAGGTGCGAAGTCCTCCTATTCGTTTCCAATGCACATTGATTATTTATTTTCAAACACAATTATTTTGTTTTCCCGATGTTGAACTTTAATGCCTATTTTAAATTTGACTCGATTAACTTTCTAGTTATTTAGTCCAGATCTTCACAACCTTGTGGGATATTAGTATATAACTCATTGAAAGTCCCAGATTCGAGATACGTAGAACAAAACTTAATACGATTAGAAGCCTAAATAAAATTCAACTATTTCCAGATGATTGAGGAGAGCGAAGAAAGATTAACAGAAGAACAAGTGCAAGAGTTATTAACTATACTGGAACGATATTTTCCTAAGGTGGAACCAAAGAACACTGTTGAGGGGGAGGTAGATGCAAACTCAAGTTAAAGGAATTGCTCTTCAAATATTGTATTTAAAGATTAATATGAACGTTTCACAAACAAAATAGTGCGTCTATCGCTTTTGATCTCCTAAATCCTCTATAAAATCTTCATCTATCTGTAATAAAGAAAGTATGTTAGTTACGATATACCTTTTAAACACACATTCTGTTCACCTCGGCCCATTTCTCTGGGATAACATCAAATAAATCGTCCTTCACATCACCTTGAATAACAATTTCATCTTCACCTGTTACTGAAGACCCGCATGCAAATCTTTGTCCGAAAAATTTTGCTGCCACTTTAAGATCGATATCTACAAAAAAGCTATTTCTTATTTTGATTCTCTATGCAGTGACAAATGCATACCAAAAGTACTAAGTCCTGTTACCACTGTAACTGATTTTTTCTTCCCTCTGGGTGCTCGAGAAACACATACTTGCTTAGGACCTTCTTCCTTCTTTTTAGTTTTAATGATTCCTTTGCCCCCACGTTTCTGCCTTTTCTTTTCTTCTTCACCAGATGGATTGTCGGAGTTGTCCCCTATTTTCACTTTTTCAAATTCAGTGGGAATATGTTTTTCAAGCCATTGCTTGCATTTTTCATATTCCGGGTAATATTCACAATACTATATTTTAAAAATGTCAGAATGTTAAAATGTAGGTAGTTCAAAAATATATAGTGAATTAAAAATTACCTCTATGGGCATCGTACAATTACCACAATAAACTACGTGAATCGGATATTCTACACCATCTCGAGCTCCAGATTTAAGTTTATTTTCTTGGGCCATTTAAATATAACTTTTGAGAACTAGATAAATGACTTTATTTAGTTCCTGGTTAAAACTTAACCAAAAATATTTTTGAGAAGATGACACTAACCAGATGATACATTCTTCCTCTTTTTTGGTATTCATCTTGGTTTCCCTTTTGTATATCTATGACTAATTTTTTTATTATTCATTATATTAGTATTAAATTCCTGAATTGTTTTATACATTATATTCACAAATCCAGAGTGATCTTAACAGTGAAAATAAAGGGATCTGTTGTTATATTATAATTCTCCATATTATTAATTAATTATTAGTCCACATTATGTACGTACGTTTTCTTGTGTCAGCCTTTCTCGAATATTTAAATTAAACCCACACATGCAATTCTGTTAACGACTAATTTAGTATCGATAAAAACTCAAAGAAATTAGTGATTTTACTTCGTGATATTTTCTGACGAATTTGAAGCATTTAGATGACGATTTTATTGTTATTAGATTTGTAATAAAAGTTAATTTTAAATATTTGTTTAGACGATACAAACGCGTCGGAAAGTAATAAAACCTTTAAATTAAATCGGACAATTTGCGAAAAGAAATATATATGTGTATATGTCTATCCTTTATGATGTGCAATTTGGCAACGTTGGCATCATATTTTGCTTACCGGCAGAGGCAAGTTGACTTGTCTATGTTACCGGTCTTGTCTTGTCTGTTACTTGTTTTTATCTATGTTATCGGCACAGAGCATACCCCCTAGGGGGGATATTTTGTGGTTACCGGTTACAACTGCTTACAACAACTATACGAAAAATGTATTTGCACATTATGTATTTATTAAATTTAAATTCAAATGATAAGAGATTTATTTAAGCAGCTGGTGCTTTGACATCTGGGAGTTGTGATTAGATTGGTATTTGAGAAAATTACTCGTTTTTCTGACTTTGAAGCTGGACACTTTCAAAACCTTATTTACGTTACTTTTACAGTGTTTGTCGAATAATGTCTGCGAAAAAGGTGATTATTAAGTAATGTTCATTTCAAAACGTTTATAAACTGTGCATTTTTTAGTGGAAAGTGTTTGATTTTGGACCGGCAGCAAATATCACTGAAGAAGTTCCTATTTCAAAAAGAAAAACTAAAGACGAAAATGTGACTTCTGTAAAACGATATAAGTTTTCCTCTCCTGGAAAACATAAAAGCTTTGATTTTTTCAAGAAACTTGCGCCACATAGTCCGGAAGATTTAATGGTTCATCCCAAGAAACTTCAAGAACTTGAAGGCTGGATAAAAACAGTAGTGCAATCCAATAAGGTAAGCACCACACAAATTTAATTTCAAATTACAAATTATGAAGAAGCATTTTATTTTAGATGAAACCTGAGTTCTTGCTAATTAGTGGACCCACTGGATGTGGAAAAACCTCAGCCGTGCAGATATTATGCAAAGCTTTAAATATTGAACTAGCCGAGTGGACTAATCCTATAGATATGGACTATGATGTAATGAAGGGATCGGGTCAAGTTGCCAAATTCATGGACTTTTTTAGTGAATCGAAATATTGTTCCTTATTTGGCAAAGGCAACAGTAAAAAGATATTGCTGATCAAAGATTTTCCTAATGCCATAATTAGATGCCCTGAAGAATTTTTCAGTGTTTTAGAGTAAGTTGCAGTAAAATAGTATAACTTGCTACTTTGAATAACCAGGCAAGTATTTGGGAGACGATTTTTGTAGCGTTTTAAAATTGTTACTATCGGGATGATTACTTTAGAGACCCCTTTTACTCCATCTGCCAGATCAAACCAAAGAAACGGAGCTTATTTTGTAAACTGAAAACATTTATTGGTTTTCACACATCGCTCCACATACTCTGAGTTTGTATGAATGCTTTATTTTAGGCACATCTCCACCAATTCGGTGCATCCAGTAATTTTTATGTGTACAGATTCAACAACTAATGAAATCAACTTGCAACGATTATTATTTCCCGATGAAATCATGATGAAGCACTGCATTGCTCATATTAGGTAAGTTTCAAAATTCATTTTTTTCAATGTTTCTTATGATAATAAGATAAATCTATTCTTCTATTTTCTAGCTTCAATTTGTGTGCTGCAACATTGCTGAAGAAAGGGATGAAACGAGCGTCTGATATCTTAAATGCCTGTCCAGAATCATTTCATCATCCTACGCAAACTACTATAGATGCTATTTTAG